TCTGATAGAGAGGAAATAACTGATAAGTCATGATCACCATCTGTTAAAATCATACATGGCCTTTAAATGCTATGTTTTGTAACATTTCTGAAAGTTCATGAAATGCCACAGTGCACATTCTGCTTTGAAGTAGCACTGAAAGATTGTCCATAAAGCCCAGCAATATCGAAAGCAATGGTCTCTTAAAATACAGCTCTAGGTTTCATAAATTGTAAGTTTACTGTGGCAAGTGTGTGGCTTTCCTGATGATGGGAGAAGACCCTTCGACTGTCATGAAGGGATACACTGGAACATTTTTGAATCCACAGCTCTCATCTGGGAGACTTAATGAAGGGGGTTGCCGTCAATGTTGGTTATTCTTCCAATGCACTGTAGGCTTGCGGCTCCACTAGAGACTTCCTGAATTGCTTCAGAAAAATCCAGTAAAATGCTATCATCTGTTGGATGTGGGGGTACATACCTGTCATCCCTCCCCTGGAGAGGCCAGTGTGGGCTATATGGAGAGACCTTGTCTCACAAAAAGAAAAGAGATGTTATCAGTGTAATCGGGGTTCACTATGAAAAGAAAATAGAGCATGTATGTTTGACAGGCATGTTAGCAGTTCCAAAATCAGGACATGCAGATAAGATTTTCTCAAAAAAAAAAAAAAACAAAAAAAAAAACAAAAACCCTGTGCAACCCCTGCAATCAGACACTGGTCAACTCATCCATCTCCTAGTGTCTGCTGCCCTCCCCCATTCATCAATGAAACACGAAATACCATTCTTCTCCTCCTCCTCCTCCCCTTCCCCTTCTCCTTCATATTCTTCTCTCTTCTTCTCTATTATTATTATTTTGGCTAACCAGGTTCCCCAGGCTTAGAAATTTATGCATGGCTGGACCTCTGTTCAATCACTTTTTGTTCTACTTCCCTGACTTGTGGTACTTGGCCACCATTTAGTATGCTTAGGCTCTCTAACAGGCTATACGTCGTGTCAGTTCTACCAGATTTTATATGTAATTCAGTCAAGGTCTAATGTAATAACTAGGATTGACATTAGCATCCCCTTGTGCTCAGAGCCATTGTAGATTTCATTCTTGGTGGGATCAGCGTCTGATGAACTTACATAAATGATAGACTTATAGTGAAACTCTCCGATATCTGCCCCAGGAGTGGACTACCATAATTCAGTTACAAAAGCAGCTGGGGCATTGCTTTTTAAATGTCTTGTGGTTCTTTTATTCCCAAATAGTTCAAGCAATACTTCAGGAAGGACTCTCGGGAGTTAAGGCGGTGTCGTGCACATGGGTTAATCTTGGAGGCCATCTGAAAGGAGCATATCTGAAAATAGAAGGTGTCCTACAGGTGACATAAAGCTCACTCTGCCATGCAGTGTTGCTGAGAGAGCCCTCTCTCCCCCAGTGAGCAATAAAGTGCACCTGACAGGAGCTTCTGCTGATCCACTCAAATATTTCTACTCTACTGCAGAGCTCTTTAGATAATATTGAACACTGTCCCTATTTGCCAACTACGTTCCAGGTCTTGAGTCTATCAGAAAGGCAAATACTCTGCCATGGGATGGGGGCAGGGGTTCTGTTTGAATTTACCAACAGAGGTTTGAGGCAAACAATCAACCTTAGATAATCACTTTTAGAAGAAATACGAAGTAGGGCATGAGGAGATGGCTCAGAAAAGTGTTTGCAATGTGAGCGTGAAGACTTGGGTTTTGAGCCCAGAACTCACTTAAAAAGCTGGACTGAAGCATGACTGTGTAGACCATTTAATTCTAGCTCGGAAGAAGCAGGGAGATGGAGAGATGCCAGGGGCTTGCTGGCCAGCCAGTGTAGTCAAATCAGCAAGCTCTAGGTTCCGTTAGAGACGGTCTCCAAAGATAATGTGACAAATGGTTAAGAAAGATATCTGACTTGAACCCCTGGTCCCCACATGCACACACATTCAATCATCCCAAAACATACACATTCAGTCCTTCCCAAACACATACATACTTATGTACACATATGTAAAAAATGCAGTATAAATCACTTTATTTGTTTGGTTATGTTTTGCTCTGTGTGTGCATGTGTGTGTGCATCTGCACATACACTTCGTCACACTTGTGTGGTTCTATTAATAGTGGGAGAAGAAATATGATAAGATATTCGCTGCTCCTTAATCTACAAATTAGTCATGTTGCCTATTATCTTCCTTTGTAGAAAGCTGTGTGAAGTTTCCTGACATGAAGCAAGGGACTTGGAAGATTCTAATCTTCTCTTCATTAGAGTTGCTGAGTTTAAGACAAAGTTTCCTGGAGCCTTTCCTTCCCTGCATTGATGCAGGGAGCTGTCTGGTGCCAGGTGCTGCACCAGGCGCTGACCCCTCTCCACCTGCAGGAAAAGAGTCTCTGGGTTTACATGTGCTTGTACCGTAAGAGCCATCTCTAGGTAGAGCATCTGAGGACTGAGGCCATGGGTAGCAGTTTTTGTACAATTATATGGAAATAATCTTTTATATGACCCACAAATCAGAGGAAATAAAAATCATGTGTATAACTTCACATGTATAGTGTAAAGCACACTTCGTGGAGCATGCCTTTTAGTTTGAAACTCAGCATTTGCATGCTGGTCCTGAGATCAGCAGCTGTGTGGCTAGTACTCTCAGGCCTTTTAGTGTGGTAAGGCCACCCTCTTCATTTTCAGGCTTCTGTGTGGAGTACTGGCTGTGTTCATGTATGCAGAGTAGTGAGGCTTCATGGTTGTGGATGTAAGTCCTTCCACATGTCTTTGCCTATTATGCCTGGTGTACCCCTGGGACACCTGCTAACTCAGGCTATACCACCCTATTTACACACTTTCCTGCTGCCTTTGAAATGGGCTTCCAAGACTCCACTATGTGGCATCCAGATGGAAGAGCCTCTGGGGTACCAGGTCCTACCACCTAGTGGAGTGGAGCCTCCTGGTGTAATGGGTTGATAGTACCATCATCGGGCAGGAAGGTGAGGAAAAGGGCAATCCAGTCTGCTCATGGTCTCTGTTGCAAAGGGAGCTTAGGAAATCTCTCCTGAGACACTTGAATGGGTTCTGATGGTTTTATCCAATATCTTGGCCATACATGGGAGTTAAGAAATAACCAAGCAGTGGAGAAGCTATGGTATGATGGGGTGAGGTGACTGATCAAGGTCTAATGACCCAGAATTACTAGAGCTACCAACTTTTACAAGTCTATCACGGCATGGCAGGAACAGTTAGTGTCAACGACCTGTTCCTTCTAGATAACAAGGTCAAGGTAGACGGAGTGCCAGGCTTACTGTCCTGTGTGACCCGTACAAGAAGACTTGGCCAATCCCAGGTGAAATAATGCCATGAGTGTGGCAAGGCTGAGAAGGGGAGGAAAACAAAGATGTCCTCTGAGTCCCCAGATAGCTCGGCATGCATACAGTTCCTGTTTCTTGCTTACAGCACCCCGCCGCTGGTGGATGAGGAATGGGTCTGAACATATCTCCTGTCACAAAGGAGACAACAGCTTTAATTCCAGAATCTCCCAAGCAGAGCTGTGCTCCAAACCTCAGCTAGTCAACCATTGTTATGTAACTTAATAGCTTTTGATTGCTGCCGGGGCACAGGATGGTAACTGCACAGGCAATCTGAAGGGTTCAGAGTTTAGTCTTTATGGAAAAGAGAGGTCACTAGATGGTGGCTGCTACAGACAGTTGCCCACATGGAAGAGAGGAGACAGGCCAAGGTTGGCAGGGGGGGCAGGGCTCTAATACCGGTATATGTCCCTGTGCTTTCCGGGGTGATTTTAGACACTGTGAACATTTTGTATTCAAGAGACATGTGGTTTGAGCCCTTGGCGCTGTGCATCAAGGTTTGCACTCGGGCTTGGGGTGGCACAGAACTAGTGATAAACAGGTTTCTGGGCAAGAAAGATCTGCAAGAATGGCATTGTTTTTTCATTAAGGAAACATCTACATTGCATAAAGTGTGCTGTCCCAGCCATGCTCTGTTGTGCGGTGGCATTGTGTTTACAGTGTGCACCAATCACTCCACCCTTGCAGCCCCTCCCCCAGGGCATCCTTGTTCTTTAAAGACTTGCTCACATGAGAAATAGTCCCAGAAGCTGGCTATGGGACAGTCGGCTGCAAGAAGGCAGAAAGGCACACACCACACACAACCTCTCTGCTGCCCCTTCCTCTGGAAACAAGGGTGCATCTTGACAAGGAGGTGGCCTTGTCCTGTGGAGTGACCTTTAGAGGTTGCTGCCTGTGGTGGCACGCCTCTTTGTCTCTAAAGCTGGGAGACTGGTGGGCTCCAGGATCCCTGACTAGAGAGGCAGATTTCAAGGCTTCAGTCTTTGCAAGTGGATGCTGAAGTTGAACTCCTTCTCCTGAACGTGACAGTGTGCTCCAGACCCAGTGCCACTTCCAAAATGAGAGCTCTGGGCCAGGCTGCTCACACAGGGGAACTGCCTCACCACAGTCCACCCGTGCCTTGTGTCCCTTCCAGCTGCATTAGCCCAGCCCTTCCTTTTCATACTGGTTGGCAATGCTACACCCAAGTCTATAGTATAATTTTATTCCAAGTCCCTCAAGTGTTTGACAGGGCGTCAAGGCAGATGTCAGAATGGCCTGTTCCCGAACGTGTAGGTGGCCACGGTGTGAGAGTCCACAGACTAGGTGAAGAGAAGCTGGCCTCTGCTCCTGACTGATGGCATGCTTTGGTGGTGTCTGAGTGGCTGCTGTGGACTCTGTGTCTCCTCTGATGGCGTCCCATTTTCGTGGGAAGCTTTCCGTACCATCCTTTTTGTGTTGAGCTGCCTAGGGTCTCCCTAGACCCTCAGTTAGAACCCTGTAAATGAATTCCATGAGCGTTGGGGAGATTTTCACAGCGCCTTTAATCACATACAGAACTCTGATTGCCTGTGCTTTGTAACTTCCCAAAGTCACATTTACAGTAAGAGTCAAGGGTGTTTGGTAGTTCTCAGCTGTGTTCAGGGACGTCATCCGGAAGGAGAGCAGTGGGATTGTCTCTGTGAATCTGCCATAGCTTATCTGCAGAGTGGGTTTCTGTGAAATTTCTCCTGAGAGTCTGCATGAATATACATTTTCTTGGAGCAGCATAAAAGCTAGTTTTATAATCTCTACGAAGTCTTCTGAATTCTAAATCTTGATGGATCCTGTAAAGAAAGAAAGGGGCCTTCTCTCTTAAAGGGAAACTAGAAAAGAAGTAGACCCTGGCTCCCTTTCCTGGGTACAAGCAGTTGTAATTATCTAGTTCAGCCCTCCAGGGAGCCAGTGTGGTGAGTGAAAGCAGTTCCTGTACCACAGGCCTGGGACACAGGAACCCATACATGTGTGACCAATGCCGCCATGGTGCTGGGTGAGTCATCTCCAGCAGAGTGTAGGATGCTGTATAAAGACAGAGCACTGACAACCATGTAGATTGTTGAAGGATGCATTTGAAAGAAGCGTTTGCGAAGGGTCATACTCCGCCCCACTCTCTGTCTGATGGCCCACCTCTGTGGGTGACTTCATGAACTTGAGGAAAGATGGGTACTTCAGTAAGGGTGTTCTAAGGGGAACAGTCTGAAGATTAGATTAGCACGTGTTAAAACAACCGGGCATCTGCTGCAAGCGCCTATTGAAAGGTGGTGGTTTATATCCTCGGGCAAGTCTTAACACTGCTAACAGACAGACATAAGGGAAACCTCCCCTCCCCCCCCCTTGCATTTAGGATGACGATGTTCTGTGTTGTTGGCTGTCCTTCTACAAGTGAAGCGCATTGAAAACCTTAAATCACACACTTCATGTAGGGAATTTGGCAAGCATCAAGGCAACGAGGGCAGAGAGTCATTGCTAATGAGGGTCCTTGGGGACAATTTTATGTCACCTTCTTTGTAAATGATGAAGCAGAAGCAATGCACTCCAAAGCCTTGAAGCCCGTGTGGCAAAATTGCTTGCTCATTCACCTCTCCTGTGGTTCATGGCTTCCCTTCGAAATGCCCTCATGCACTCACCTCTCCCTTCATCCCTCCCTCTTCCCGTTCCCCTCGCGTCTGCGTTCTCTAACAGGCAGGAGTTCTACTTAACACAGCCTCTTGAGCTGCAGTGGAGACACAGGGAGACCTTGCCTGAAGGAAGCGTCAGAGACCCAAGGAGGAGTTGAGCCTCGCGTGACCCTGCAGTCTCGTGTCCAGAGATGACAGTGTGCTCATTGAGCATGAGAAGATACACACACAGAGAACAGTTAGGTGACGGCCCCTGCTGTGAATCACTCCATAATCACTTCAGATGTACAATATACAAGATGATTTGGATCACGTCAGAACACTGTCCAGGGGACCAAAAACCTCTAAGAGAATTTTTAAAATGATGTCTTCTCTTTCCACCCCCAGGACAGTCTTGAATGGCGGCAAAATTCTAACTGTGGAAGCTCATAGATGAGAGATAGCCCCCGAAGGAGTGGTAGAGACTATAATGTGAGCACACACTGCTGTGAACAGGAAGTGTGGGGGTGGGAGTCCATGGGGCTGCTGGCTAAGGTCCAACTCTGGACATGGTTGATTCCAAGGAGGCCAGAGAGGCAGGGTGGGTCAGAGACTCTCTCTGTCTGTCAGCTTTGCTGTTCGTGGAGAAAAGACTTGCACTCATAGATAGCTTTCCATTTTCTGGTAGTTACATGTAGAAATGGTACAAAGAACTAGACAGAATTAAGTTCAGTTTCCCCACCCACCACCCCAATTCTTGAAGGGGCCAGTGTCCGCCATATTGGATGATACTGGCCCAGCTTCTTTGGTGGCTGCTGTGACTTGCAAACATTACTTGGGACATTGCCATCCCAGAATCTCATAGGTGTAAGGGGCTCTCCATCTGGCCTCTTTGTGACCTGGTACACGCGATGCCAGAGCCAAGATGGGGCTCATTTCTATCCTGTCTTGGGCTTTAGAGTTCTGTGAAATTACAAGGATGTTTAAAAAAAAAAAAAAACCCTCATGATAATCTTAGCGGCATGAAGCTGTGGGATGGAGCCTAAAAGCATGTGGCAAAATACTCCATCATAGACTCTACTATTGTAGAAAACATCTGACTCTCTAGCTTGGTGACTAACACCGGAGTTCACCCCAGGACATTCACTTTAAGAGCCCATGTTCCAGTGCTAGTTACAAATGAGAAGTAATCAGGCTGTCCCCTACCTGATGTTTCTACATTGTGTTTCAAAAAGTGCTGTGCACTCCCTGAAGGCGAGTACTGTAGAAAGCCAAGATGACATGGTGACGTGCCCATCTGTGCCCCCACTGGACCACACGCTGAATTAGGTTGGAAGCTGGTCCCAAGCAACCTTGCTGTCGTGAGTAAAATTCCAAAGGCAGCTCATCCAGCCTCCTTATTCTGCTGGGACTCTTATCACAGACAGCCCAGACTGGGTGGCTATGGCAACACAGCCATAGTTCTCAGAGGTCTGGAGAGAAGGCAGAGATGGGGCGGGGGAGGGACTCATAGAAGATTTCATTCTGGCAAGGCCTGGCCCCTGGCCACCTACTAGCTGTGCACACAGTAGCCCAAAGAGTGGGGCTCTGGGTGGGGCTCTTTCCCCAGAGGACACGGTTCTTATCTATCTGTGGCCACATTTAGTCTAATTCTGCTTCATACCCTCCGTAGTCACACTGGGGATGTTGGGAGGGACTTGTTAAAGCCACCCCTTTTTGAATCCATAAGTGAGTTGGGTCCTGGCTAGACCTTTTGGGGGTGCTTAAAGTTGCAGGTGTGAAAAAGACCCAGGTTGGACCTTCAGGGCTGCAAGCTCCCAGCTAGTGTCAGCTCCAGGCACCTGTCAGATGCAAGATCCGTGCCTTTAAGTCCAGCTTGTCACTGCCGAGTGGGAGGTAAACATAGAGCCGTGTTTCAGAGATCTGCATTTCCAACAGCTAGAGAGGGTACATGTCTCCTGTTGGTGGTAAGTGACAGAATGCAGTAGATTCTGCCTGGTGTACTGTCAAGATGCCACAGAAACCAGAGAGCCCCAGACAAGGAACACATTTTTTTGTAGGAAAACAGAGACCAACTTTGAGACTCCTCTGCTGGCTTATCTAGTGTTTAACTTCTTGGGGACCATGGTGTGTGGGTTACTGGGATTAGGGCGTATGTTAGCTGGTCCTCTCTGTCTTAGGACTGCAGCATGAGCAAGAGAGTCCCTTAGAATTGTGGGAAAACAGTAAGCAGCCCACCCTGGCCCAGCACTCCCTCTGGCTTGTGAGATAACGGCACAGACCCGCACTCCAGCACAGATTTCTCTGGTCTCTTCACAAGCTTTATCTTAAACTGCTGTCGGGCAAAGCAGCTCCTGAACTTGGGGTGTGACCTGAACTTGGACTCTTCCGTCAATGCAATGACCTCAGCAGCTTGTCCAGCCCCACTCTGCTCTCTGGAGGTGAGGACTGCTTCTCTTGAGTAGAAAGTAGTTTTGTATGAGCTCAAGTGTCCTCTGAAGCTGAGCAACCCATAGTGGTATTTTGTCCCTTTGAACTATGAAAGTGCTGGTGAGGCTGTCTCCGCTCCTAACCAAGCTCTCCCTTGTCCCCTCCAAGGCTGCAGCTCCTCTAAGCCAAGGGTGTGTTTCCCACGGGCTCGTAGAACCGCAGAGACCTGAACCTCTACCACAGGACACTGTGTCCCCTGGTAGCATGTCCAGTCCTTCCCATGGAAGTGGATCTCGGTTCCTGACCCACCTCATGAGAAGTCCCTACAGTCTGCTCAGCAGACAGTTCCTCCCTTATGCTCTCATATCCATGACATGCACACAATGGTGCTCTCCTCTCTGGTTCTTGGTCTTGATGTAGACAAATTACCCTTGGAAGGTAGAAACACCCCCTATTTCCTCAGCAGTTTACTTAGAACACAGCTCCCCCCGGGACTCAACGCCCACCTTGGGGGGTTAATGCTCTAACGGTATGAGCTGTATTAAGTCCTACCTCTGGTCTCACTGGCTTTTTCATGACCTGCTGAGGGGTGCCATAGATGATGGAGAGATTCCATCCAGCACTCTGAGTGTGTGGAGCCATGCTGTCTCTCCCACTGGAACTCCATGTACTGCTCATGAGATACGGTTCTCATCCTAGTAAGTGAGGTGGTAATGCTTCTTCAAGGGAAGACAACAACAAGCAGAATTTTTCTTCATGGTCAGAGAAAGAAATTCAGAAGACGCTCAGAACTCAGCCTCCTGCAGACTGGGCAGGTTGGCAGCCCAGCCGGAGGAGCTTTTTAGTTCTTCGCTGTGTTCTCTGGCGTAGAGGCCATTTTAATATTCATGAGTTGCATCTTAAGCCATGGGAAAGTGACAGTTCTAGCTGGCCCTGCCTCTTCAAAAGGGAGCTAAAATACTTGGAAAGCTCCATCCTCCATCCGAAGGAATAGTCTAGACTGCAGGTGGCAACATTCCTGAAGCCACTCAGCAGGGAACCAGGTGGTGTGACCCGAAAAATGCACAGATGATGGTGAGGGCATGATAATGAAGACCCTGGTCCTTAGACCTGGAGCCTTGCAGGGGGAAGCCGGACTCACCTCACGGGCTTCCACTCAGGGCAGAAGTAGTTCTGGAGTTTCTTAGAGAGCAGCAGTCCCCATGCCTTCAAAACAGAGCAGAACTCTCCAGGAAGTGGCGTATTTTTGAGAAATGCCCCTATCATGTTTTAACAACAGAGAAAGTTCAGCTATTCTTATTTTAAAAGGAAAAAATGGGATCAGAAAAGAGACAAGTGTTCTCTTCTGAATCCACAAAGTAAATTAAATTTACACAGCTATCTTTCAAATACAAATAAAAGTTTAAAATACCTTGAGGAGAGCTTCAAGAAGAAGAATGCGGTGAAACCTGTGAGTGAGGGACTGATCGAGATATGAGCTTGTAATATACACACCCCGGGCAGCATGCCCACTGGTCAGTGCCTTGAAGATCATGGTCATGGTTAACTGAATGCGGGACTCCTCCACATCCCAGGGCTCAGTTTAAGACCTAATTCCTGCTTCCCAAATCACCTTGGCCTTGTCACCTGTCACCCACATGGGCTCAGGTCACCACACACTGATGATAATACACATGCCCCGTGGAAAGGTGATAGACGAGGGTCAGACAAGTATAGCCCAGCACAGCTGTGCAGGGTGTCCATCTCAGCCCTGGGCAGAT